GATTCAAGCGTCGTGAAATACGGGTAATGCATGAGTCGGGATGCTTCTATTGCTTGACTGGAAAGATGGTGTTTGGTCTCCGGGGGAGGGAGAAACTCCCTTATATAAGCCATATAGGTATGTGCCGCTCCAAAGGGTATGGTTTTTGGCCTGAAAACGGGTATACATCTTACCCATTTTGGTCTGGAATCGGGTATGGTTTTCGAGGAAACTACGGGAGCGTGTGAACTTAGTTATCGTTTCAATTCCAAATGAATAAGGACGAAATAGAAACATGCGAATTTGAAATGCGTTTTAAGAATGTTTTGTTTGAGCTCTAATCTAAGTAATAATGACATAATTTCTGCCTAAAGGCCAGGTCTGAAAACGGGTATGGATTTTAGAGGTCTGGTCTGAAAACGGATGTGGAAAATGACATTTTTTAGTTTGAAATAGGGTCAGGATTTGGAGAACCGGGCGGCACACCCCCACCTAGAATGTCCAGGAGTACCCTTCCCCCCCCGGGTGTTTGGTTAACAAGGACTAAAAACTTGCATGACCTTTCTCTAGCCCGTCCCTCTCAACAAATAATGGAAGTTTCCTTGACGGCTGTTATCCCCGACGCTCTCAAAATCTGCTGAAGCATCAGTTAGTGCGGCAGATATTTGATCCAGAATAAGTTTGGTCATCGTTTGTTGTTGTTGTTAAGCTCTCAAAAGAGCTTTCATTGTGACGTTTTACAACTGATGCATTCCTGGCACGCCAATAGCGTGAAATTTGTCAATTAGGGAAGAGTTTCGAAAGGTAAGAATGTAGGGGCTCTACAAAAAGAAAATAAACATCCTCAATTGCCTATACACTCTTTATTTCTTTTCTGTTGATAGTATATAATCTACGGTGAGAGTTCAGTAGCTCGTTATTTCTAACAGCTAAACATATTCATGCATAACAACATGTTTTAGAAATAGGCCAAAGGGACTGACACATATTCTCATTTAATGAATTATTTCAGTTATCTACAATGAATGAGTACCTTAAATTGATCAAAGCATAATTTCATATATGCTCGGCTGTGAGTGAGGCTACGTTTACAACGCACTGGACGAAATTTCCACAGGCTGAAAAACTTGACCAGACACTTCATTCACCTGGGACTGATCAATATTTCGCTCTGTTCACACGTTACGGTTGGGGTGGTTCCCTACGAAGGGAATAACTTCAAAACACACGAATTTTTTTAAACGACTAAATTGTGAACGAAGCCTAAGCGGACTGGCAAGGAAATAATAGCACCAGAGTCAAACCAACTCCAAGCGGCCAAGAAATGTTACGTTTAGTATATAAACACCAATAAAATACTTAATCAAGTTATTTCACTTTGATAAAAATTATGCTGAGAAAAGAGCTTTTTATAATGTAACCAGTGCTCTTTGATGTGTGGAAATGACATGATATCACGTATGAAAATATCATGTTTTCATGTTTTCGCGCGGAAGCTCACATGGTATCTCATTGATGTTTATTACGTTGGAAGATAGGAGAACACAACTCCTAATCTTCAACATGAAAGTAAAGAAAATACCGCACAAGGCGCATCTCATATCTAAACCCCTAAGTCTCAGTCTAAGGCCAGTGCTCGCCGTCAACGAGACATTTCTTCTTTTGATAATGTTCAATAAGATAACCCCACATTTCGCACACCTCCAGTAAATTCTTGTTACCTGAAATTAGAGAAGTAGTCAATTACTTACGACGTCATATTGCACGAATAGCTGGATTCGTTACCTATGATACTTTTGCCTAACAAACCTGAGGCTGATGCTCAGCTCATGAATGATCATCCCCCCTTCTCCATCAGTGCTCCGTTTTGTGGGTTTTTACAAAAAGAAGTCGAAACAAGGATCAACTGGGAATCACACACGAAGCCTTTCGCACAGAAGGCCAGCGTCTTGCCAATACGGAAAAAAAGGTGTATTCTTATTTAATCTTACCTATGATGCAAAGGCCTCGTTTTGCTCTCGTTAAAGCAACGTTGATCTGGTGCTCGTCAGTCACAAATCCCAGCTTTTGACTAAGCCACCCGCGACTAGGTTCATGCTCAATTTGGGAGTCTGGCAAGGACCGAACTAGTGATATGATCACAAAATCTTTTTCACTTCCTAAAGGAGAATATATGGGTAATGAGGAAATTGGTGAGATCGCGTCGTGTCTGTTCTTAGAAGGCATACTACTACTACATGCACATACAACATAACAATAGTTAAGCACGCGCTCTGATTGGTCAAATACTTATTGCTGCTGCTCGAGCGAGCAAGGCAGCAGAAATCCGCACAGGGGCAAAAATTCTCGATAATTCGATTTGGATTTTTTTACCACAACACCATCATATCTAGCGTTTTTCGTAGGGTTGCTCCTGTCAGCGAAAATGTGGTGTTTTTCATCAAATACTGAAAGATATTCAAGTGCAGAATGATATCCAGACAGTGGACGCTAGACCTACAACCCCGAACAAAACTGTTTAGACAGTTCCATATATTTTCTAACTTTTGCGCCCTACTCCAGTCTCCTCTAAACAGAAAAAGTAAGCCCCCTCCTCACCCCCTTTTCAAAGTTGTCTTCGCCTAAAACCCAACATGTATAATTGCCATGCTATCCTACAGAGGTTTCCGTTTTTTGCCAGGATGGCAGGAAAAAATAGGCATTTTCGCGATTTGCCTCAACAGGTTTTGTCCGGGGTTGTAGCTGGACTGAATGTGGACTTTTTAAAGTTTTTAATAGATTTTAATTTTTTTTCTTTTTATGATTTGTTTTGAACTTCTCAAGGTCAACACGCACATGTAACGTTACGTCTTTAACGTTACGTTACATTGCACGTACATTTTTTCAGTTGCTTTTAAACGACTATTTGCGTCGCCCATGCCCATGCAGTTTTTGTGACACTTCAGCCCAGTGAGAGGCGAGGTAAGATCCGTACATTTATATCAATTTAACAGGAATGGAAACCCAAAACTCTTTGAACAACTCAATGATGAAGAAATCGAGGAACTCGAAGCAGAAGGTTTACTGGTATTAACGGCAAAAACAACATTGTCCAGATCACACAGAAAAAAAGAACGGTAAAAAAGTCATTTTTATCACCCAGAACTTGTTGATGTTATATTTCTTCTTTTTTCACACCGCAATAACGAGAAATTCATCTCTATCATACAAACTGTTGTGGTTATATTTCATTCTTTGTGGTTATATTTATTTTCATTCTTGTATTTACACCTGGAGTTCTGAAAACCGGGTTAGCAAACATTTTGTAATTGTTCTCAAGTTCGCCTGTCTAATAGCTTGCAGGTGAACTTTGACCCGGGCCAAGACTTTTTCTGGTGTGAAAACAAGGCTAAGGTGATCCCCAGACCGTGTGACTCTACATCCGGGAACTTGAATCAGTCGAGTGTAAGAGAAAAGTCCAGAGGTGTTTATCTGGCAATAGGTTGAGTTTTTCCGAGTTATTCGATGATATTTCGGTTATGATAAACGTGAGAAGATTATGCGTGGTTGTGGATAGTCTTATCAGTGCCGCGAAAGTGTGTGATTGTGTGATTTCCGCATGGTGTTTACAGGTATGTGATCGCGTGGTTGAACTGCGATTTGGCCAAAATATTCTGTGCCAGCCATTAATATTGTTTCGTCGGTGTTTAGCTTAGCTGATTGTACCTTGGAAAAGCGACTCTCGACTCAGGAAAATTGGATCTATCGTGGTCATTGCACGCGTGCTGAACAAGAATGCTGTATAATGACAGACTAGAAACAATAGACAACTCCCAAAGCACAAACTCAGCCAAAACGCTAAAAATCTTCAATGTTTACTCAAGTTTGGGCTTATAGAAGATAATGTCACAGTTTTTCAATGACCATGAAATTCAGAGTCCGGGTAGTTAGTTAATCAATTGTGGCCCTGAAAAAATTTGAAGGAAAAAAAACTACGAATTTTTAAGAAAATGCTTTTTTCGTGAGAAGGACTCTTAAACGCTGACAAACGTCAACAAATAGCGAAAACTATAATTTCTATATGTTTGCTTTGCTCGAAATCGCGCGCATTTACAAGGCCCTAAAGCGTTTTGCTGACTTGCAAGGACCCATCTGTTATAACGATGCCCAAAATAAAGAGATGAATCTCATAGTTTATTAGATATAATTCGTGTAAAGTTTGCTTATCATTTTCGCATAAATTATGACCTAAATTTGGAAACCGCTGAATTTCTCGAATTGGGTCTTTGCGATTTTGGTGAAACTCTGTTCAGCGCAAGGCACTAATGCGCACTATGTGTAGCCGAGAGATTTTCACGAAAAAATGCCGGCAACAGCAGATTTTCGACTCAGACCTCAAAGGGGCTTGGCATTATAACCACGTGACATTTACTCCGATCGCCAAAAATTTTATGTTATATTGTAGATTGATCTATATGTTATCCATTCTATGTGTTAGACTTACGATAAAAGTAAAGGTGGGGATACCAGAGAGCTTCAAAGTAGGATGGTACCCCCTCAAAAAAACTGGGTCGACTCACCTGAAGTTGTTATGTAAGCCTTAAACAGGCACTCTTTCGCTGCAGTTCACTCAACTTAAAAATTCTAGACTAAAATGACACCGGTTTGAAACTTGGCGAAGTCAGTGTACTGAATAAATGTTCTAAAATTTGCGTCATTTTAAATTTGGAGTCGTTCGAATGCTTCTAGGGACCATTAACTTACTGCCCGACGTCAGATAAAGGCTTTTAATCGGCTTTTGAATGAGTTTTAATGTTTTAAATTGCCAACTAGTAGAATGAGTTGATATTTTTGCTAAACCGGTTTTCAAAAATCCCGAGGTATATTTCATTCTTCATCATTGAATGTCACCTTCCAAATTCTCACTGTTATGCGGATGATTCACAAATATATTTGTCCTTCAAGCGCTATGACTTTTCAAGTCAACAAGATGCCATAACTGCGACGCAAAATTGCATTGATCGGGGGACGACATTCGCTCATGGACGGAACACGACAAACTCCTTCTCAACGATGAAAAGACGGAATTTCTCGTCATTGGCCCACGGCAACAGTTATCTAAAGTTAAATACTTCTTCGATCACCGTGGAAAACTCTGCTATAATGAAATCGTCAGTTGTTAGGAACCTTGGCTCGTACATTGATGACAAGCTGTCAATAAACTCCCACATCAACAAAGTCTGTAATGCATCATTTTACTATCTCTACAACATTGGGCGGATAAGAAAACACCTATCGCGTGACTCCTCGGAGACTTTGATTCACGCGTTTGTCTCCACCCGATCGATTAGATTACTGTAACAGTTTACTCTATGGATTGCCACTGGTACAAATTGATAAGATACAAAGAGTTCAAAACGCAGCTGCAACGCTGATTTTTGAGCAACCAAAGTTTTGCCATTTAACACCAGTCTAATGTCAGCTTCACTGGCTTCCCGTCAAGTATCGCATTGAGTTTAAGATTTTACTTATAAATGACTTTTAAAGCTATTCACGGCATGGTGCCAGATTATATTTGCAAATTGATCAGCCGAAGGAAATCAACTGGATATAATTCTCTCAGATCCAGCTAAAAAGTTATGCTTGAGGTTCCAAGCGGCAAGATACTCCCAGCACTTGGTGGTAGAGCATTCTGTTACGCGGCCCCAAACCTCTGGAACAACCTACCTAGCGAAATATCCAGCCTTGACTCTGTCAAATTTTAAATGCCATGTGAAAACATATCTTTTTAAACAAGCTTTGAATTTGTAGTAGTGTATCTGTTTCGTTTATTTTATTATCATTTCTTGTTATTTTGTTTCATTTTTAAATCTTTCTACCTGCTTGTAAATTTCATTCATTTTTAGTCTTTCTTTTTAACTTATTGTAATTGAAGTGTATTTGATCATGTCCCATGGAAAGTAATTGCGCTATATAAGTTTTAATTGTTATTATTAATTATTATTCTCTTTCAACTTCTAGCAAAAATACACAAAAATGTGACGTTCTTCTTGATACATTCATTTCTGTTATCTACAAATCGTTTTTGTATATCGTCTGCTAATTATAAATTTGATAAAATCATCTCGAATAATAATAATAAACCCATTTCTTCTATGCAGAAAATGTAATCGTTATGCTTCGTTCTTTTCGACTTCTCATAAAATTGCTCTGTTCAGTGTTACATTCGATACACAATATTCAATAAAATTGTTTGAACTAACAGCGGCAGCAATCTTTTACCTATTACTATTTTACCATTTGCCCCTGTGTGAATGATGGTGAAAGCTAGCGCGATATTCGGCAAAGCCGTACGCGTGACTTTCTAGTTCTACGTGACTATAATTTTTTACCTCATAGTTTCCAAGATTTTTATGTAAAAAATGAACGAAAGTTAACTTAAAATCCACTTTGAGACGGAGGACTACTTAGTTAGAAAAAAGACTGTTTTAAAAGAAAACTGATTTCGGAAAGAATGGTTTACACACGCCCGAGCGCGAGCAGATGACAGCACTCATTTCATTTCCCTGTGTATTTTAGGCAAAAAGTTGCATGTATTCTTTTGATTATGTTATATAACAAATGGTAAACGGCTCAGCGAGCAGTATTGAGTTATAGTTGTACTGGGGAAGATCGCTAAGCACTCAAGAAGCTTCAGTCACACTGGGCTGTCTCCTTATGCAATTATTTCACTCCTTAGCAACCACCCGGGTGCAACTATTTACGCAATAGAAAATGTCTCTATGTTTGCATGGCGTTTAGTATGCACTAAAAAGAAAAACGTTTTCTACTGCTTGTTTATGACATATCTTTCCAGAGAAAAGAAAGAAGCAAAACTGTTTGTCATGGCACAATTAAACGATAAATTTTTACCAGTCGTGAGGTGTTGTACACGAAGTTTTGTGGACGTAATCATTTCTTGTTTTTATGAGATGAGTTCCAAAATACCATTTTTCTCGCTTTAAAATGTCATCTTAAGCGAAAACAAATTGACACAGCAGGTGTCTAAAGATTTGACGAGGAAATGAGTATAAATAAAGTAAAATTGTGGAGTTTTCAACTCTAACCTTTTTTCAAATTCGTACTTGCATGATTACCGGGAGCACCGCAAAACATCTTGACAACACAACCATGTTTACATACTTTCATGCAAACACACCTCCCAGCCAATCAGAGTGCGCGTACTATCTTAGTTATTTTGTAAAACTCAATAGTGCACACTGCGCCGTGTACCATTTGTTGAATCTTTGGACCCTTCATCTCCTTATAAGTTGTCGGTTATTCTAAGTAATACCTATATATAATTAACTATTCAGGCAAAACCGCTTCGAATTAAAAGTTAATTTGTTTTATTATGACTAACAATCTGAGAGGGATATGGCATCATGAATGAGCGCAATCAAAACAAAGTCTACAGGCCCCCGCGCTTTTTCCCCCCCAGGCCACGCTTGACTCCATCGCTTCGCTCGCCGGTCATGTACGCCCGGCTCCACTTGGAAGCCGGTCCGCAGGCTAACGTAAGATTTTTCAATTTAACAACAACATCGATTTCTTTGCGTTCAAACGTACCTTGGCTCTTTACAATAGAAGTCACGGACACTTCAGAGAGTTTGTTTTCAGCAAGTTCTTGTTCAATGATATGGCACTGAGCGCGATAAGGACTCAAAATCAAAATTTCACTCTCCTTCTCTACACCACAAGCAAGTAGTTTCTTGACTACTTCCACCTAAAATAATAATAATAAAAAAAGATTAAGAAATGGGCTATAGAACGCATGGGTTCAATTACATAAACATCGAACTGTTGTGTTATAAAGTGGAATTACTCACACTGTAGTACTCCTTTCTTGTCTGGTCAATTCCTCCCGGTGTATATGTCTTGTAAAAAAGCCCGTAAATACCATTTGTTTTTATTCAGAAATCAATCGGCATTTGTCAAGTCTAGGTAACCGAGAGTTCGAGAATACCGATTGAGTTCAAAATAAAAAAAGGCTTATTATGGGGCTTTTTTTACAAGAAATAAATGGGAAGGAATTGACCAGACAACACAAAAGACTACTTCAATGAGAGTAATTCCACTTTATTACGTAAAGATTTAATCTGTATTTAGTAGAAACCTATGTTACCTATAGCCCATGATAAAAAGTGGCGTATTTGACGGACAGTGTTTCTGAATCCTGGGTCACTACTTCAAGGCGTCTCAACTACTGAATTTGAAATTATTTGGTGGATTTAGGTATAAGTTGATAAGTGGAAATATCCACACGAGATTTGGTCTACGAGAAAAAAATGTCAGAAAAGTGCTTAAGATTTGATGAATAACGTAGTTTCTTAAATCAACCCAAGAATTTTATTAGAATTTAAAAGAAGAGAATCAGTCCGAATAAACTGTTCACTCTAACTTAAGATCATTGAAGCAAACGACAAGACGAAGCATTTTTACAATGAACGATTCATTGATAGAAAACGTTAAAAAGCTCTTGTAGGTCGACTAGGCCAATGACCGTTTAGTTACTGAAGCCAGCAGCCGTTTATTTTAAAACATGAATACGCCTTGTAGAGGTTCATATAAGTATGAGATATGTAACTTTACAGGATCGACAAAATTCATCTTAACTCACCACTTTGTCTTTCTCCTTTGCGTTACTTTTGGATCTTTCATGCCCTTCCTCTGTTGTCACCACGAGCTCTTCCTCTTCGCCCACGACATTGCAAAACACCAGTGGTACATAAGTTGTGTCAGTGTGATTAGGCCAGAATTCTTTGCTGACTACCGTTTCTCGCGCTTTTACGGAGTCTGCTGTTTTTAATTTGCTGTCGTAAAAATGCTTGGAAGGAAACTCACAGATGTCCTCGTGCTAAAACAAATTCAGTCGGCGCAAGCGGTTATTTCGTGCATTAAGATGTTAACTAGTATAGAAATAATTACTAAGGGCAAAGCGTCAAAGCAAAACGAAAAAAGCAGGAAAATCGCTTGAAACACACAAAGTGTAACAGGAATTTTTAGAGAGGAAAACAGCAGCCACAAAATTGCAACCTGACCCATCTGTTTCCCAGACATAAAAGTGTTATGTATCCTGACAAAGAGAATTGCAGTCACGACGGCGTCAAATCTTCTTGTCTCAACTTTTCCAGGAAATGTCAGCTAACGATAGCGGGCAACAAATGATTATGTCGCTTTTAAAAATACTTAAGAGGGGAAAATATGTGATTTATTGTTATTTTATTGTTGGTACATGTACATATACATAGCTTTGCAATTGAGGGCGCTGTTCTCCTTAAGATGATTTTTGACTCTTCTCAGTCAAGTACTGTGCCCTCCCTCGTAAGCTACAGTCCGATAAAGCTTTCACTTATTCTGGTATGAATACTTACCATTCTGTATTGTTCCTCAAGCATGAATGAACAGTAAGAGTATCGCTCGAACAACGACTTGGTCAGTCCAAGCGACTTGGCGACTCTGTTGGTTACAATTGGTTGAAGCTGCATGTGATCTCCAATCAGAACCACTTGCTCTGACCTTGACCAATGAATGGGAACAATGGTTTCTGGTTCCAGACACATGGCACTTTCGTCTACTATGCACTGAATGGTGTTGTTACATGCCTCTTTGATTCTGTTACTCCCAGCCACTGAGCAGGTGCAAAGCACAATCTGATAGTACTTACCTTTACGTACGCTTCTGATGACCCACATTTCAGCATCCCGTTTCACCTGTGATGAATATAGAAATACTGAGCAGACATTTGCAGTCTGAAACCTCTAAGAGGACTTTCCCATTTTTATAATGATTGGATAACAAAATGTCACACTGGATATAACCCAAGTAGCACCTAATGACCTGGAGCAAACTTAGCAAAAACGTTAAGGGCAGAACAAAAGAGTGAGGCCTCTCCACTCAACTTTCGCCCCGACTGAATATGGCAGCAAAATGCTTGCAAGCAGGTGGAGTAATAAGCAAACTTTGCCATAACAACTTAACGTTGAAGATTCGATAGTCTAAAAACAAAATGTTTCTCTAACTACAAAGAATGCTATGTGAGTGATTTTCATCAATAAAATTAATACTACCTTTAGGTACTCTTTGATCATTTCATCTGGCACTTCTTTCTTTTTCTTTTTCATTCTGGCAAATAGTTTGTCATATGTCTTCAACTTCCGCGCATATGGTGACCGGCGGTGGTTTCTTATCACGTGATGCAATGAGATGCGTTTTAAGCTTTTAGGAACTTGATGAATGGCTGTCTGTCGAATTCGCTTTAATCTATTTGGAATAGGAAACTTTTCCTCTTCAATGACATTTCCGTATACTCTGAGAATCTTGATACCCATGTCCTTCAAATACTCTAAATAAGAAATCATACGTACATTAACGAACAGCCACAGACTTTGGACGGGTAAGAGCTAGTGGAATGTCACAGTTATGACAAAGTACCTTAAAGGGGCCTGTCACGGTATTTGTTATCTGTTTGAACTTTAAGAAAATTTTGACGAAACTGTTTCTGCCGTCTGTTGCTACGGATGGCAAAGATGAACACGGATTGAAAAAGTTGAGTTTTAATGTCATGCTTGCCAAAATCACCAAAAAAATATGGTTTGTGCTCCGTGATGAAATTTGTTTGAAATCTCTTTCATACCTCTAAATAATTTGTGTTTGGTTCAAGGCACCAAGAAATTACTTCGGCACAGGTCGTGACAGAGTCCCTTAAACGGTTGACGGACCTGCT